CACCATACATAGTATGGAGGGTATATTAAGTTCGTCATTCCGTTTGTAACTCATCGAAATAATAACTTTAGAAATAACAAAGTATATTCAGGCTGAGATAAAAAAAAACTGCAACAAAGTCAAACGCCATAATTTTTACATTTTTTTTTTTAATTTTATTGAATGAAAACAAAAAATGTCGGAAATAGCATTAGATTTTAGAAGAAGTTTAGATTTGTTCGAATTTGTCACATTTGGCACGAATTCTGCCCTCGTCATTCGGCCCCGTCACACGCTGCCCGAATGTTGCTCTGCGGTATTTTAACCCATTCCGGGCGAAGCGCTTGCTTGAGGTGATCGACACTTTGGTATATTTTAGTGCCAACCTTGCTTTCCAAAATACTCCAGACACAATAGTCCCACGGATTGGTATCCGGAGATTTTGGTAGCCATTGTGCGCTGGAAATGATGGGAACAACCTCATTTTGTAACCATTCTTGGGTGGCTCGTACTGAGTGCGATGGTGCTGAGTTCTGTTGGATTGTCCAAGGTCTGCGGCCAAAATGTTTGCGTGCCCAAGGCTTTAATACACCCTCCAGAATATTTTCGCTACAATATTCGTCATTTATTCTGATTACACGGTCGATTAATACGAGCGGAGAGCGACCATCGGCTGTTATGGCGGCCCACATCATCACCATGGCAGGCGCTTGAGTTTTGATGGGCAACCGAAGGTGCACATTTTCAGCTGACCTCTTTGGCAAGTAAAAACGATCATTTTGTTTGTTTACAAACTGCTGGACAACGAATGTTTTCTCACCGGAGAAAACCAAATTCGGCAGTTCACCACTTTCGGCCAAGCAAAGCAACTCTTTAGCTCTTTTGAGTCTATTTTCTTTCAGTTGTGGTGTTTTGGAATTTCAATGGCTTTACGTCGAGCTCATTTTTAAATATTTGCAGAATGGCCATTGCGACGCGGGGTTTGAGACACTAAAGATGTATTCACATTTAAATACTGGATTGCTCTGACGATAGCCACTTGTTGTTTTCCTGCCAAATATAAAGAAAACAATATAATGAGCTGTCACTGGAATAATTTTAACAGCTGCCGTACAAGTGGCTTGAAAATGACAGCAGTCTGAAGTTGATTGCAGTTTTTTTATCTCGCCCTTTATATAATCTTGATCAGCGTAAAATTCTAAGTCGATCCCTGCCTGTCCGTCTGTTTTAATCACGCTAGAGACAAAACGAATTAAGATAGGAAGCTTAAATTTTGCACAGATCAGTCTTTTATCTGCAGGCAGGTCAAGTGCAAAGATGGGCTATATAGGTCCACCCTGTCTGTCCGGCTGTTTTAATCAAGGTAGAGACAAAACGAATTAAAATAGGAAGCTAAAATTTTGCACAGATCAGTCTTTTATCTGCAGGCAGGTCAAGTGCAAAGATGGGCTATATCGGTCCACGATATCGTATATCCCCCATATAAAGGCACCTCCCTATATTGGGTATTTTAGATAAATTTCTCAATGGCTTTGTCTAAAAATCCACACAAGAAGTTCTCTTTAAGTACTTTATCTCCTGGAGGAGAATAATCTATATAGGTCCACGATATTGTGTAGCTCACATACAACGGTACCCTGCGATATTCCGTATTTCGAAGATTTTAGGGACATTATTTACCGAAATTGTTTCAAATTTTGTATTGAGAGTTCTTGATAGAAACTACAGCCTTTAACAAAAAAAATATGGGGATCCACGTCTTCGTATAGCCTCGCTTCCCCATATTCGGTATTTTGATCATTTTCGTATTTAATGTTCTTGATGGGTATTACAGCTTATGACCAAAAATTAAATATGCAAATCACGTCTTCGTAAAGCCCCTATATCTTTGAGCGTTATTTTTGGATGGAATTTTTCGGAAAAATTTCAAGTTCATTAAAAACAAGTGTAGTCGTGCCGACCATTTGATGCCCTACAACACTACAATATGTAGAAGCCCGCTTATGTCCAAAACCATTTTGGAAGATTTCGTTTTTGAAATTATGACACGGTGCACTGTCCAGATATTACCCTTAGCATTTTGGCCAGGTACATTTTCCCAATATTTACGCACTCCGTCGTACTATTAGTTTTGTGGTCCATTTCCTATTGTCATGTGGTCACTGTCCTATTCTAATGCAAACATTCCGTGTCGATTGGTTTCAATTGTGTGATTAGAAATTTTTTTCGCAACTCATAACTAAGTTATGAATAAAAAAATTAGGATTCTATTGTGCTGGAAATAAATTGTGTATTCAAGTCGTTTCTGGTAATCTGTCGGTTTCAACTCTTCGACATGTTGAATTTTGCATGGAAACAAAAAAATGTGTACAAAAATGAAAACAAAACCGGATATATAAATACGGGTTAGATAAAAAAACTGCAACAAGGCCTTAATTTTTACATTTTTTTTAACTTTATTGAATGGAAGCAAAAAAATGTCGGAAATAGCATCAAATTTTGGAATAAGTTTAGATTTGTTCGAATTGGCCACTACTGGCACGAATTCAAACTGCCAATGAAACCGTCACACGCTGCCCGAATGTTGCTCTGCGCTACGCCGGGAATGGGCCAATGAAATTTTGGTGGCCATTGTGCGCTGGAAATAAAGCGAGGAATCTCATTTTGTAACCATTTTTGGGTGGGGCGTGCTGAGTGCGTTGGTACTGAGTCCTGTTGGAATGTCCAAGGCCTGCGGCCAAAATGTTTGCGTGCCCAAGGCTTTAATACACCCTCCAAAATATTTTCGCAATAATATTCGGCATTTATTATCATGCCACGGTCGATTAATACGAGCGGAGAACGACCATCGGCTGTTATGGCGGCCAACACCATCACTTTGACAGGCGCTTGAATTCTGGTGGCCAATCGAAGGTGTACATTTTCAGCTGACCTCTTTGGCAAATCAACACGATCATTTTGTTTGTTTACAACTGCTGAACAACGAATGTTTTCTCATCGGAGAAAACCAAAAAAATCTCTTTAGCTCTTTTGAGTCTATTTTCTTTCTGTTGCGGTGTGAGTTCTTGCACTTTTTGGCATTTAAATGGCTTTACCCCGAACTCACTTTTCAATATTTGCCGAATGGAAAATTGCTATATGGTCAGCTCACGAGCCATTTTTCGGCTACTGCGACGCGGGTTGCGATCAAGTCGCTTCTTTTTTTTTCGACCATTTCTGCTGATATTTCCGTTCTCTTCCGTCCACTTCCTTGACGTTGGGCTACGCTACCAGTATCACGGTAACGAGCGATGGTACGAGACACAAAAGATTTATTCACATTTAAATGCTGGAGTGCTCTAACGATAGCGACCAAATATAAAGAAATCACACTATCACGCTTAGATTCCATCACGAATAACTTTTTTTCTGGAAAATTCACACCAAAATGCTTTTGTATGCTTGTTAACATATAATGAGCTATCACTGGAATAATTTTAACATCTTTCGGACGAGCGGCTTAAAAATGACAGCAGTTTGAACATTTGTTGAAGAATATTTTGGTCTTTAAGGTCATCCTTTTAAAATGATGATTTGTTGGAGATTTTTGCAGAAAATTGCACAAATTACGGTATTATCCCAAAAATGTGTTTTTACACCCTCCACCATACATAGTATGGGGGGATATTAACTTCGTTATTCCGTTTGTAACTCATCGAAATAATCATTTTGACCCAACAAAGTATATATATTCTTGATCAGCGTAAAAGTCTAAGACGATTTAGCGATGTCCGTCTGTTGTAATCACGCTACAGCCTAAACGAATTAAGATAGAAAGCTAAAATTTTGCACAGATCCCTCTTTTGTCTGCAGGCAGGTCAAGTTCGAAGATGTGCTATATCGGTCTACGATATCATATAGCCCCCATATAACGGTACCCCCGATATTCGGTATTTTGATGATTTTAGCCACATTTTTCAACGGAATTGTCTGAAAATCCACACAAGAAGTTTCTTTTGGGTACTTTATACCTCGGCAGAGAATTGTCTATATAGGTCCACGATATCGTATATCCCCCATATAACGATACCCTCCGATATTCGGTATTTTGATGACTTTAACCACATTTTCAACGGAGTTGTCTGAAAATCCACACAAGGAGTACTTTGTGGGTACTTTATACCTCGGAAGAGAATTATCTTTATAGGTCCACGATATCGTATCGCCCCCATATAACGGTACCCCCGATATTCGGTGTTTTAATGATTTTAGCCATATTTTCCTATGGCATTGTCTGAAAATCCACACAAGGAGTTCTTTGTGAGCACTTTAACTCCTGAAAAGGTAATTGTCTATATAGGTCCAAAATATCGTATATCCCCCCATAAAGCACCTTCTGATATTAGTCATTTTAAAGATTTTAAAAGAATTTTTAATAGATTTTATTTTTTAAAAATTTCCAAATTAATTCCAAATGGTGGAGGGTATACAAAGTTCGGCCCGGCCGAACTTACTGCTTTTTAACTTGTTGATATATAGAAATTCCTGGCGTTTAGATAAGATTAAGATTCTTGCCGTCTTCTAGGTCCGATAGTTGAATGTTATGACAAGTAATTTTGGAGAATATTTTAACATGCTACGATCCCGTTTAAATTGAGGGACCTTTCTTGGCTCGCATAAGGGTTAAAATTTTCCAACTAAAATGCACATATTCCAAGAGTGAATTTGCCCCCTCTATTTCGTAGCGGTCCACTCTTTCACATACGTCCGCCACAACATTTTGAAATGTAATAACTCTCCCATTTCTTCAAACTTCGGGTATTGTCTTCACGACAATTTGTAACGGAAACCATCCGTGCTAAATGTTCTGAAAGTTATGGGTTATTAAAGGCTAACTTATATGCTTTCCTTGTGTATTCTGATATTTCGATACTATCAAACTACAACCAACAAACAAAACTTACTCGATCCAAAACTTATCATATTTACTTATTCTTCTACCAATTTCCTTCAATTCATTAATTAACGATTAACTTTGGTTTCTTTGCAGAAAAAAAATCAGTGTCTTCAAAACTTACGAAAAATTGTTCCAGCCAGCACTGCACACACTCATTGAAACAATGAAAAATAAAGCTCAACATGAAATAAATCTTAACGTCTTCCAAGGATAATTAAAATAAAACAACAACTAAAAAATTAAACAAGGATAAGAGAAAATCACCTACACTACAAAAGACAACAAACAACCATCACCATCAACTAGAGCAACAACATTCATCTACTATAACAACAACAACGAGCCACATTCAAAGAGCCTGTTTTGACAAGGCATGTTTATACCTGATTCACTGCGTAGCTGTATGATCGAGACGGACGTTAATTCCTACCTCCAAACCTCATCCTCAGGACAGGTGCTGAACTTATACGTGGTATCAGTTTTTTAAGCAAATACGAAAGAAACTTTCTATCTCCCTCAAATGAACTAATTTGCCCCGCCATGCCATGCCACAAGCTAACCAATCTCAGATCAAAAAAAAATCACAAAACCACCGACTAACAACATCCAAAAGCTAAAAGCCAATCATTTTCCTTGCATTTTAACAACGTCAGAACGCAAACAAAAAAGAAAAACATAAAACGTCGAAATTCCGCATATCTTTTGGACCAAAAGTGTACAGAACCGAAAAAGAAACAAGGATCTGATCAGCATTTCCATTTAGCCAAATTGGGTTTTTTTCAATCGAAACTAAACAGAAACAAAATCCCACAAAGGCTATCCACCGCCAATCACAGGCTCAAAGCTAACAGACAAACAAATTGATTTCCATTTCTCCATAGGGGTTTCCCTTCTGTCTCTCTCCCTCACGGTGTGTGTGTGTGTATGTGTCTCCCTGCACGCTGTCTGTTTTCTGCTGTACGAAGTGAACGTACACAAAGAACAAAAAGAGCCAAACCAAATCAAAAAAAGAAAACCCCAAACGAATATTCGGAAACCCAACTTGTATCCGTTAACTAAGTAATTACCAAAATTCAACAACAACTACTACTACAACCACCACTACTACTACTACTAACTAATACAACAAATGTTACTAACAAATCTCTCTGTGTGTTGTTTTTAAATGTTATTATTCCTTGATGTTGTTGTTGTTGTACATTTTTCCTTCTCTTCTTCTACTTCTTCTTTTTCCCCCTCATCAATTTCGGTTTGTTGTGTATGGATGTTTTGTATTTGGTTCTTGTGTGTGACCTCTAACAACAATAACAAAAACTAAACTTTTTTCGGTGTATTTGTTTCCTTTTTTTTTCTCATATTTTTGTTATTTCCGTCTCCTCTCTCTTCTCTTACACTCTTAAAATTTCTCTTGCACCTATACACCTAAATATTCACACGAATTCATAACAACTACGAACCATTTCACACTCAAACTCATTTATGTTGTGTTATGTTTGTTTGTATGTGTGTGTGTTCATGGTTTGTTTGTTCATTCATACTATTTGTCCTTAATAAACCCCGTTATTTCCTTTTTTGTGTTCATATTTTGATGTGTGTAAATAGTCAATAACTGTCTGTCTGTCCGCCTCTGTGTGTCTAGCCATGGACTATCTATGAATGTTGGTGTTAGTGTGACCCCCTTTTTGGCTGTTTGGTCTGATGCCTATCCATCCATCCATCATAAAATAACGTTGGTTTGTTTTGATTTTAGTTTTGTTATTATGGGTTCCTTTTTCCTTTCGAGCATTATTTTCGGTGTGTTTTTTTTCGTTCCGTTATGTTTTCTTGGATGTCTAGATGTGTTACTTTGTTTTATCAAAATTTAGAAATGCACAAAAAATACTTTTAAATCGACATTTATCAACTGTTCTGGAAAGGCTGGAATCCCTCCTTAAAAATTAAACTGGACGAGTTGAAAGAAAATTGAAACTTTTCTACGAATCCAAACGTTCCTCAAAAAATATTCTTGAAGTAAAAACCAGTAAAGAAAACCTTAAAGTCGGGCGGGGCCGACTTTATGATACCCTACACCACTTTGCTAATTTAGTAGAGCTGCGCATAACCATTAAAAGTTTTTATGGGAGAATTCAATCATACACGCTATGATTATAATTATAATTTAAAGTTCAAAGGACTAAATATGCCGAAGCATTTGTATCTTTTAAATTCGGACTTGTATTGCCCATTTGGTGCACAATTAATTTGAAATCGCATAAAAATATATATGGGAGCTATATCCAAATCGGAACCGATCTCGATAAAATTTGGCAAAGATATTTCTGAGCTGTATTTGATATATTTCCCTGAATATCGTTGTTACGTAGTGCATATTACGACTGGGGGTAATAAATACAACAAATCGGTTGAACATTATATATGAGAGCTATAGCTATATGAACCGATCTTCACCAAATTTGACATACTAGCTTCTGGACTCAATTCGGTCGTAAGTGCCAAATTCCATCCCATTTGGGCAAATATTAGACGTTTGGTGCACAATAAAAGGTAAATCGGACGAAGTTATATATGGGAGCTATATCCAAATCTGAATCGATCTCGATAAAATTTAGCAAAGGTATTTCTGAGTTGCAGTTAATATATTTCCCCAAATATTGTTGTTATAGAGTGCATATTACGGCTGCGGAGGACAAAAATAACAAATCGGATGAAAAATATATATGGGAGCTATAGCTATATATAAATCGATTTCGATCAAATTTGGCATACTTATTTTCAGGTCCAATCTGATCGTACGTGCAAAATCCCATACTATTCGGGCTGATATTACACGTTTGTTGCACAATAAAAGGCAAATCGGACGAAGATATATATGGGAGCTTTATCTAAATTTTGACCGATTATCTCCAATTTCACTAGGGTTCGTCCTTGGGCCAAACAAATGATTTGTGCAAAATTTAATCTGGATGGGGCAAGAAATGCGAACTGTACTTTGTTAACAAAAATACATGACAGACGGACGGACAGACGAACGGACGGACGGACGGACGGACGGACATGCATAAATCGACTCAGAATGTGATTCTCAAAAGGAACTATGGGTCTATCTCGTTTCCTTTTGCCGGTTACAAACAAATGCACAAAGACATAATACCCTGACCACCTAGTGGTGTAGGGTATAAACATTAAGTTCGGCCGGGTCAATTTTTTATAAAAGTATCTGAATTCAAGCGTTTTCTACTTTAAACTTCATATACCAGACCAAAACGGCAACCTCAATAGACAATTTTATACTTCAAGGACTTTAATCTATCAGATCTTCTAAAATATTAAATTTGAAATTATTATATGGGTAAATGTGACTGGGATTATCAAAATAATGAATATCGGTGGGTATCGTTATATGTGCGCTATAGAAAAACGTGGAACTAAATATTCAATGTTCTGCCACCGGGCTGGAACCCATTATGAACTAAAAATATCAATTTTTATCAAAATATCGAATATTGGCAGGTGCCGTTATATGGGGGCTATACCCAAAACGTGGACCTACACATACAATGTTTCGCCACACGAGCTAGAACCCATTATGACCTACAAATACCAAATTTTAGACAAATCCATGAAAAAATGTGGCAAAAATCTTCAAAATACCGAGTATCGGGACGTACCGTTATATGAGGTCTATACCAGAACGTGGACTTATACATACAATGTTTTGCCACCGGACCTAGAAATACGTGAAAAATGTAGCAAAATCATCAAAATACCGAATATCGGAAGGTACCGTAATATGGGGGCTATATAAAACCGTGGCCCTATAGATATAATGTTTCGCCACCGGAGCTAGAAACCAACTTGGCCAACAAATTTCAATTTTTAGACAAATCCGTGAAAAAATGTGTGCAAAAATCATCAAAATGCCGAATATCGGTACCCTCGTATGTGGGCTATACTAAAACGTGGAACAATACATACAATGTTTCGCCATACGAGCTAGAACCCATCATGACCAAATACCAATTTTTAGATAAATCCGTGAAAAAATGTGGCAAAAGTCAACAAAATGCCGAATATCGAGAGGCACCATTATATGAGGACTATAACAAAACGTGGACCGATATATCTCATTTTCAATACCAACCACCCTAGACACAATACAAATTGTTCTGCTAAATTTTAACGCTCTACGTCAACTACAGACAGACTAACATCGTTAAATCGACTTAGAATTTTATGCCGACTATGAATACAGGGTGAGATAAAAAAAGTGGTACAAATTCAAACGCCAAAATTTTTACTTTTTTAATTTTATTGATTGAATGCAAAAAATGTCGGAAATAGCTTTAAATATAAGAATACGTTTAGATTTGTTCGAATTGGTCACCTTTGGCCTTCAAACGGCCAATGAAACCGTCACACGCTGCCCGAATGTTGCTCTGCGGTATTTTAGCTCAATCTCGGTGGCCCATTAGTGCCAACCTTGTTTTCCAAAATACTCCAGACACAATAGTCCGAAGGATTGGTATTCGGATATTTTGGTGACCATTGTACGCTGGAAATGAAGCGAGGAACCTCATGTTGTAACCATTCTTGGGTGGCGCGTGCTGAGTGCGTTGGTGCTGAATCCTGTTGGAATATCCAAGCTCTGCGGCCAAAATGTTTGAGTGCCCAAGGCTTTAATACACCCTCCAGAATATTTTCGCGATAATATTCGGCATTTACTCTGATGCCACAGCCGATTAATACGAGCGGAGAGCGACCATCGGATGTTATGGCGGCCCACACAATCACCATGGCCGGCGCTTGAGTTCTGGTGGCCAACCGAAGGTGAACATTTTCGGCTAACCTCTTTGGCAAGTAAACACGATCATTTTGTTTGTTTACAAACTGCTGGACAACGAATGTTTTCCCATCGGAGAAAACCAAATTCGGCAGTTCACCACTTTCGGCAAACGAAGCAACTCTTTAGCTGTTTTGAGTCTATTTTCTTTCTGTTGTGGTGTAAGTTCTTGCACTTTTCAGAATATCAATGGCTTTATCCCGAGCTAATTTTTCAATATTTGCTGAATGGAATATTGCGATATGTTCAGCTCACGGGCCATTTGTCGGTGCGGGTTTCGATCAAGTCACTTCTTTACTTTTCGAACCATTTTTGCTGATGTTGTTTTTTTCTTCCGTCCACTTCCTTGCCGTCGGGCTACTCTACCAGTATCACGGTAACGAGCGATGGTGAGAGACAAAAAAGATTTATTCACATTTACATGCTGGAGTGCTCTAACGATAGCCACTTTTGGTTTTCCAACCAACTATAAAGAAATCGCACTATCACGCTTGAATTTAATCACGAAAAACATTTTTTTGCAACATTCTCTTTCGACGAGGCTTGTCCGCAGGCAACATTCTTTGCGTCAATTGAATTTTGTACGGGAACAAATGCAAATCAATGCGAGTAACCCGTTGTTAAGTAGACCGAGTCATGCCCAACAGCTGAGAACGGCGTTTTTGGGATGCTCTTGGGGACCTCTCAACACTGGCTCGTACGGCAGCGATATTCTCGGCCGATCGCCTTGGTCGACTTTTATATGGCATCTTCGGATTGGAAAGAGCCTTACCAGTCGAAAATTTTTCGTATAAACGCTTAATGGTGTTCTTAGAAGGCGCACTTCTCACATTTTTTAATGTTTTAAAAGCACGTTGAGTTTTCACAATTGACTTCTTCTGTTGAATGTAAATTTCAACTATTTCAGAGCGCTCGCGTGGCGTGTATTGGTTCATAGTAAAAATCTGCTTGGACTGACGCTTCAAACGCGGTATGTCATTAAGCGATGTGACATCTCTGTCAAAAGTTATGGCGTTGCCAGATGGGTCCGTTGAATATGGGTCCTTTTCTGAAAAAAAGGATAAAAATATTTTTGATATAGACGAAAATATCAATTTCTTGTGATTTATTGTGAAATTTCATGTAGAATATTATTGTCTTTGACGTCATCATTTTAAAATGGCAGTTTTATAGAAGAATTTTACATTAACTCATATGAAGTATGAATTTAGCCCCAAAA